AGTGTTTGCACAGCGCTGGGCTGCAGCCCGCTGCCTCCACGTAGCACAAAGAGTGTGACAGAGCTGCGGGAGTTCAAAGTCAAAACAACCTGGCTTCACTTTGGATTGCATGACTAACCACACCGCCACGGTGTAACACGTGGGGCTTTTTTATATTTATTATTTTATTAGGAGCATTTAGGATACCCTCAACAATGCCTAACCCTTGATTTCAGCAGCACTGCTTGCAACAGCAACCTATGACAAGCGCTGTGTCACTACATTGCCCAACAGCAACAAGTTATTTGGTACCAATTACTACATCAGCACTGTTTGTTCCATAACCTACCTTCCCTCCACCATAATACACAGTTTAAAAGCTTAATGAAAAAAAATAAATAAATAAAATCTAATTGGCTGAATGGAAAAGGCATCGTGTTATTAATTAGTACAGTTCTTGCCAGATACATTTGGTCTTGGGACAGTAACTTTCAGAAATATATTTTTGATCTTAATGGGCTTCCAAAAAGCTGTTAGCTGGACATGTTGTGACAACCAATGTAAAAATAGCAGCCTGTTAAAGCAGCTGATAACTGAAGCACACAGCAGAGCTGTAAGCATACAGGCAGAACTGCTCCCTTGGGCTCAAGCACCTCAGCTCAGATTTGTACATAATTTCACACACAACATCTGTTTTAGTAGAAACTGCTTCATGAGCTTCTAAAGAAAATGTTTCTACTTCTGCAGCCAGAGAAGAAATCCCACCTTTGCACAATAAGGCGTAATTGGAATTCTTTGCAGCTTGTAATTTGTATTCTTACAGCATGTTAACCAAGCTTAAGGCATGCTTCATTTCCTGGGGATGTTGCTCATGGTCCGTAGGCTCACAGCACAACTCCAAGCTACTCAACAGCTGTACATGAAAGACACCAGGTTCACCTCATCCTGTCCCACTTCATGCCGTACTCAGCTTGACTTTGCTTTTTCCTACACAGTTCCCAATTCTCACAATATTATCAAGCACTCACACTAAAATTCACACCAAAAAGAGGATTTTTGCTTCTCCCAGATCCATGATGGTTTTGGCATGGGCTGTAACAAAAGACAACTTCCACAGAATCACAGAAACACCAAGGTTGGAAAAGACCTACAGGATCATCCAGTCCAACCACCCACCTATCACCAATAGTTCTCATTAAACCACGTCCCTCAACACAAAATCCAAACGTTCCTTAAACACCTCCAGGGTCGGTGACTCCACCACCTCCCTTTAGGTGCTTTAACAAAGTAAACTCAGAGAAAACTTCAGTGAGAGACAGCAGTGGTAAACATCTGAAGTTAACATGCATTCTACATCACAACGCCAGTCATCAACTGCATTCATCTCTCCTCTCTGAGAGTTAAGATCTGTTACCTGCACACTTAATACAGTCAAATATAAGGAGATAACCTCACCTACAGCAGCCTTGCAGCTAATTTCAGGTTCGGCTACTGCCAGATAAGGGGTTTTCAGACAGAACTCACAATGTAAGACAGAAACACCTCAGTGAGAATGCTGCTTTCTGTACAGCCTAACTACGATCCGGGCTGCACTGCATTGAGAACAGCAAAGCGGAGGTGCAAAGGAGTCCTCAGACAGACAGACAGACAGACTGACTGACAGACTCCAGCTCTTCCATAGCAATCAGAAGCGACCGCGCGATTGCCAAGCAGGCCCGGTCAGAGCAGCGATCGGCCATGAAGCGCCTTAGGACCGCAATCAAGCGACGGTGAGGAAACAAAACGGCACCAGCGCGCGGTTCGCACCCCGCTCCTCTGACAAAGCGGTATTTTAAGCGTCTCGCTACGGGTAAAAGAAAGATTTGATCATCGTTTTGGAAATCACACCCGGGAGGCGCACGAAGCGCCGGCACTCAGCACAAAGCTGCGCTCCAAACGAAGCGCCGAGGCGAGCGGCCGGGACAGCAGCACCGCCGGGCCCCGCGCCCCGGCACTCCGCCTCACCTCATCCGCGCTCAGCTCCTCCATCGCCTTCCTCTTAATGGTGAACGCGGAGGGAGGGCGGGCGCTTTCCTCCGCCCCGCCGACGGGCAGCTCCGCGGAGCGCTCTCCGGCCGCCTCCGCACTTCACAAGGGCATCGCCGGGGCGGCCTCGCCTCGCCCGCCGGCAGCCGACCGCTCTGCCGCCGCCTCCGGCCCGGCGCCCGCCCGCGCCTGGGCTCCCGCCGCGCCCCGTGAAGGAGCCGCCCGCCGCGCGCCGTGCGCCCGCCCGCCCGCGCCCCTCGGCCTCAGCTCCCGCCCGCGCCGCGGCCGTTGCCCCGCGCAGAGATTATTCATCAAAACAAGAGGGCGGCAGCGGCGGCCATCTTGGGGGTGGGTCACATGAGGCCTCCGAGGGAACCGGGCATGCCGGGCCGCGCGCGGCGGCGGCCAATGGGGAAGGGCGGGAGGCGGCGGGAGGCGAGCTGGAGGGGCGGGGCTCGCAGCGGCTCGTCGTGGCGCGGCGGAGGGGCGGGGCCTGGGGGCGCCATGGCAACGGGGGTGGCCGGAAAGGCGGGAAGGGCGGGAAGCTGTGTGAGGATCGTTCGCTGGCTGCCTGGAGGTGGGAATACTGGTGTGCCAGCTGTCGAGGCGCCCGCTTCTCTTCAAAGACACCGTGAGCTTTACCTCATCGTTACCAAGAAAGGATGGAGCCTGCTGCCGTACTTTTGCCCGGCTCCTTTGAACCTGAGGTATTTTGTTTTCTTCCCGTGGAACAACATAAGCTTTTCTCGCGTCCTTTCGTTATGCCCTGAAGTGACACTTCTGTGTAAAATATTCTTTTCTTTCTCTTCCTTTTTCTTTGCCTAAGGATAGCTGCTACCATGGAATACAGGTGGGGGATCGTTAGGGAACTACCCCCAATTGTGTGTCTTAGAAGTTAATGTTTAGGTGTAAAACTCAGCAACCTTAATGGTGTTTGTGCTTGCGCTCCTTACACCTCCATATACCATGTGCAACTTTTCTTCCACATGTACTTAAATGAAATGTTCAGTGGAGCGTGAATCTGAAATGTTCTTTTGAATTTGTATTGTCTGTTGTAGCTGTAAGGTCCAGAAGGAGCGCAGAGCCCTTCACCCATCTGCTCTGTGCAGATGTGTGCTCTGTGCATCTTAAAGTCACGTTCTCAGCACTGGCACTGCCTGCAAAATGCAACAGATGGTTGCTGGAGGGGTTTCGCCATCAAAGCTGTGGTGAGGTAATGGAGCTGAAACACTTTGGAATAAACCCGGTGCCTCCCTGGTGAGTTCTGTTCCTGTCCTTTAGTTCTGGAGCTGTGGGGATCCTAGTTTAGTTTCTTGGTGAAAGTTACCTTACTGTCTCTTTTCTTCCTCAGTTACAAGACATAGAATTGTTCTCTCGTTTCTTTCACTTGGCGTTTCAAGATGGTTGATTTGTATTTTTTTAAAGCATGTGAATTTAGTTAATTTATTGTGAGCAGTTCTGTCCCTGGCTGCTTGTCTCTTCCTCAGCAACTACACATCATCCTCCAGTGAGCTGGGCGTAGCATTGTCTGCTTTCAAATCATCCATTTGAAGTAGGAAGGTAGCAATGTAAAAAAGGCATGTAGTTGATAGCAACTCTTCTACGTTTTTAATAGCAAAACCTTCTCTATAGTAGCCTTACTACCAAAGTTTGATATTTATAGTCACATGAGCTTCTAAGATTACATTTCTCTCATTTCTAATTGTCTCTCTTCGTACTAACAGACTTCTTAATGCTGTCACCACCTCTGTGGTGTTTCTCATGCACAGATGATTGGAATATATGATTTTAAACTGTGCGACTTGAACGTATTTGCAATATTTAACACTGGAAGTGCTGCTGTAGGGTATCACTACAGTTTAAATGAAAATGCATTCTGTTGCAGTGGTGTCATCTAATGGAGTAGCAGTATGTTAGTGGTAGAGGTTACACAGCACGTTTGCTGTATGAAAGTGTCATTTATATTAAGTTCTATGGTATTATAAAATCTCGTTTCCGAGCAAATAAAAGCAGCTCTCAGTTCCAAAGTGAATACTCTGTTGGAATTCAGGAAATATATTCCATGTTTTACTCCCAGTCCTCCAAATGTCCCTGTCCTGACTCCTAAGGTGTACCAGGACTTTCCTTCTTGTTTTGGAAGCCACATTTCGAGTCCTCTGGTAGTTATCTGGGATATTGATCTAATTAAAAATTCTCCCAGCTTCAACAGAGCTGAGAGTGAGGAAGAGATACCTGAATAATGAGTTGTACTACTTATCTCTAAAAGCTTTGAGGATAAGTTGAGTGAAAAACAGAATCCTAATTAAATCTATCTGAAGCTCAGTAATTTAGATTAAACTTCAGCAATAGGACCTGTGTGCTGTTAGTGTTACCCAGGAGATGTAGCAGCTCATTTCACATGTGTAACAAGTTGATCTGGCCACTTATTTACATGAGCTTATTCTTCTTTCTTGTTTCTGACCTGGTGAATTGTTGCATAGTAAAGTATGCTAGCAAATGGAACAAATACATGCGAATAAGCCTCACCAGGAGCAGCATTATTTTTTACATTCTATATGTGCTGATAGCATCAAATTATTTCATGGACTGAAACTTATGTGATTGCTCAGACCTATCTTTGTTATCGGGGGATGTGGTCACTGACTGACTTCCTCTGGTAAACTGAACTTCATTGTTATGAAAACAAAGCAAGACTTCACGACTCGGTTGAGAGTTAGTGGGAGCAGTTAACTGCCCCCAAAGTACCAGTGTGTATCTTAAGGAGAGAAGCATTTTAAATAGTAGAGTTCCATCCTTGGTTGGAATCTTAACTTTTTACCGTTCCTAGAGTTACACAAGTTTACACTGTACTTCCTGTTTTGTTTGATCTTGCCATGCCCTTTTAGAAGGGGGAATGGTTCTTGTTTTGATCTAGGTGACTAGTTAACCACAAAGCACCGTATCGCTCACAACTGGGGATTTTTCCCCTCTCCAAAACACATTCAGAAGACAGGTACTTAAGATGTTTTGTAGTGTTTATTAGCAAAAATCAGATCTTTGACACTGCTAACAACCAGTAGTATTTCCTGAGACAGAAACAGATTGTTTATTTAGAAAGAAATCAGGTGTTGTATTTTCAGTTATCACTGGACTCCAGAATGCATGACCTCCTGCTGTCTTTCCATGTTGGAACCAATGCTGATATTTAAGCTCTCTTGAATACTTGCTTACATATTTGATTCTCACAACGAAGCTCCTACAAAACAAACAAACAAACAAAAAATACCCATATATAGTAACCAAAGGAACTCCAAAGGAGAAGACATATTTTGCTATGCCCACTGACCATCACTGAGCTGCTGTGCTAAGTTATGCTTAACGTTCTGCATTTGGCTGTGCAAGATGAGTAAGAATGAAATGGTAAAACTATATTGTGGGTTGAACTTGATGATCTCTAGAGGTCCCTTTTAACCCCTACAGTTCTGTGATTCAGCTAAACTAGCTGAAAGCAAAATGTGTTCCTTATGTACTATTCTGTGTATTATTGAGGTAGAAGACAATTTGCACGTTATGACTACAGTACAGGTTGCATTTTTTGTCACCTAGAGACACTTCAGAAGTAAATCAAATACCAAATGGAGGTCATCTCCTTCGAGCCAGTGAGTCCAGCCCCTGTTCTTCTTCTCCCCAGCCTGGACACAGACAAGTTTGTCATGGTCCCACGTAACCAGGCTCTGTTAAAAAGAAACCAAGTGTTTATGTTATCTCAGTTCTGAAATGTCTAGTAGACAGTATCCTTTCTTCCTTGATAAAATGTACCTAAATTAAATACTGTTGCTGAGGGAATGTGGAACTTTTGATCACTAGCTAAGGCTCTTGCATCTATACCTTACTATCTATATTAAAAATAGTATTATTAAAACAATTTCAATCCAGATAGCAAGGCTAACTACAGCATCTTCCTTCTGTAAGAACACATTGATTTTTGAATTATTCAGTCTTACCTTGCATTTTCTGTTATCCAGGCCTTTATTGTCTTCCTCAAACTCTTCACCAATTTTGAATTGGAGCATGTAGTCTCTGAATGTGCTTGTAGTATGGATGGAAAACGAATCGCCATCCTGTTTGATCACTTTCTGAGGCTTCAGCATTTTTGCTATCTTGCGTGTTGCAAAGTCAATGCCTTTGACAGAAGAAAAAAGCCAGTGAGAGTTGTACTGCTCACTGAGTGTTCCAACAGCTGGGATTTACCTGTACTGCTTCCAGAAGCATTTCTTAGAGATGGTTTGACTTACTGCTATGCAAATTTGGTTTTGTTGTTCTTGGTTTTATTTTCTACTCCCCCAGCAATGCTATGTTCCACATTTAAGGCATGTTCTTGAACATTTGGTCTTTTTACATACACCCAGACTCCAAGAACTCCCTACTTATTAGCTACAAGGAATAATAGTTAATGGTCTTTCATTATCCTTAGAGAGGAAAGGAATCATGTGGCATAGTTTTTTGTGAGGCAGTTTCTGTAAGTCTGTCCTGAAAAGCAAAAGAAGTTCAGTAGACAGAGAGCTCTTCCCTGTCTCTGAAAGTTTGTACAAAAGTTCTACTTGTCTCAGTCTGGTACTTGTTACATTCCTGAAGGCTGCAAGGACAGCTGGGTGATAGGCTGAACTGATAGCTAATGCTGTGCCAATAACCAGCTAGTAAATATTCTATGCTATGTTTTGGGGAGGGGTGGGAATCATCAATATCTAGGTTTTAGAAGAATTCAAACAATTAATCAAATCAATTAAAATGCAGGAGGCCCCTCACAAGGGAAGAGAGAAGATAGCATTAGGTCTTTTCACCTACCTAAAGCTGTCATGTAGCCTTCAAAGTTGTCATTACTGACAAGGTTCCAAGTTCCACTGAAATCCACAGGCATTGCTAGATTGCGAGGAGGAGTTACAGTCAACCCCTGTCCAAAAGCAGAAGTAAAGAAACAGATTTCCAACCAGGCCTTATATGAGAGACCGTGGGTGGGATTGTGTTTGAGAGCATTGATGGTGGAGGGGAGTGGTACTGCTGCTGAGCCAATAGGAAAGGCAATATCTGTAGATGAGCATTGCCTGGGTTGGAGGGAAAAGTTCACAGTTTCCGAAATCTTTGTATGGAGCAAATGTTATTAACTCAAGAGTCACAGCACAAACCAGAAACTGATTTAAACAGCTTCTGTCTATCTTGTATCTTTTAAAAGGTATCATGGACACAGTTTGTCATTCCTAAGACTTCCTGTGTCCACATTCAGTCTGAGGGTTTATGATTTGAAATCTAAATACTTTTTTGAAAAGGTGATCTACCCATGGGGCTGTATCAGTAAGTCTTAAAGCTGTACTTCGGTGTAATAGAAGTGAGCAGTATACCTCATTGGTTTGTGTCTGTAGTGAACAGTGGGCAGCGTTGTTGTCTAGCAGCTGTAACAGGAAAGTGAAAGGCAAATCTTATTTGCACATTATTCTCTGATGTGATCCTGAACACAACTCTGCTGTGCCACAGTTATCTGTTGATGTTCTGACTTCTTTACTTCTGTTACTTATGTTCTGGCTGGACCAAGACCCAGACTCATGGGCAATGTGCAGAATGAAAGCAAAATTCTGTTTTCTCTGGTACTTTACCAGACAGGAAGCTTATGTAACAACTGAGGCTGAAATGACAGATCTAGAGGCCTGAGGTCTGTTCACAGTTCTACAGCTGTGTCTGTGAGCTTTCTAGAGGAGAGTTGCATTTCTTTAACCTGAAGGAAAGGATCTGAGGAGGTGATAAAGCATCCTTCCAGAACTGAAAGAGGAGCCTACAAGAGAGCTTGTGAGAGACTTTTTACAAGGGCATGTAGTTATAGGACAAAGGGTAATGGCTTTAGGCTAGAAGGTACATTTTGGTTAAATATGAGAAAGATGTAGTGAATTTTCTTCACTGTGGGGTGTTGAAGCACTGCAAGGTGCTGCCCAGAGAAGCTGTGTAGGCCCTGTCCCCAGAAATACTCAAGGCTGGGTTGGATGTGGCGCTGAGCAGCCTGAACTAGTTGGAGGTGTCCTTGCCCATGGCAAGGTGGTTGCAAGTAGATTGCCTTTAAGGTCCCTTCTAAACTGAATGATTGTCTTCCATGAGAAGAGAACTCGCAGCTTTGAGTCTGAATGAGAGAACTCACAGCTGCTACTTTTATCTATTCAGGGTAGTCTGAGTAAAAGGATAATACTTTGCAGAGAAGATTGTTTCACTGAACTTTAGCTACATTTTTGGAGCAAAGTTTGACCTGTATGACTCACAGAATCATGTGGGTAGGAAATGAAGACGTCAAAGCTTCTTTCCTGTTTGCGGATGGATATTGTTCTCCAACATATACTTAACTAGGACTGGCACAGAGGAATGCAAATGAATGCTCTTCCTGGACTCAGATAGTAACATTTCACCCACAACTTGTTACTACGAAGTTGTGATATTTGAAGAGCTCTGTTGTGTGCTCCTGTCTCTTCCAAGAAAAGAGAAATCAGTACTAGGATAAAGCCTCTGTAGAAATCTGGATTAAAGTTGCAGTTCAGTAAGAAGATTCTGCAGATTGCCAGGGTTTACAGAAAGAAACATTACATTGGTGCAGAATTTCAGACTAAGACTTATGGAGGGTCCTAGCATTACTATTTCAAGTCTAATCCAAGGAACCGGCTGTGGAACTTTTGTAAGAGCTACCTGCTGTCCTGTGATGGTTCAGTTATCCTTCCCTTACAAATTCTCCTGTTTTTCTTGTCAAGACTCTTATTTTTTCTTAATTTTTCTTCCACATTTCTTATTTTTTCTTCCACATTTTATCTTAATTGCTGTGCAGCACTGAGCATTGAACACAACTCAGAAGCAGATAAAGTGCTCCTATTGCTGTTGTAGCATTTGTAAAATAATTCAATCTGAATTACACATGTGATATAAGAGCCCTCTGTTCTCTTACTAGTGCAGAATCAAATGCAATAATGTAAAAAAACTAAAACAAGAAAAGAAGGCAATTTATTTTACAGAGCATCTATGAATACGTTGTAGCTTCTTTATAGAAGTTCAATGAACTGCATTATTCACAAACTTTACATTTTGAAGAATATAAATTCTCTGTAGATAAAGCCCACTCATGGAAGTTTTACTTCTTTATCATTTTGCAAAATGATGCTTCACTAATTATGATGCTACTATTCAGAACCGATTAGAACACTAAATTCTGTGTGTGCTTACTCCCAGTGTTGTAATGGAGGCTTCTGGATCTCACTGGTAAAACAGAAGATCTATATTCATTGCAGTTTTTGAACAATATTCTGGTTTGTATCGAAAAAACTCTACTGATAATGTTCTTTCCTCTTAAAAGTCATGCAATCAACAGACATCAGATTTGGTTAATGACTAAAACTAGTATATTACATGCAATTTACTCTGTTGAAAGACCCATCATGTGTAACTACATGAAAATGCGGTGAAATAGTGCCTGATAATCAGTGCTTCATGAAGCATTAAATTATTATTATTACTTTCAAATACGCAGTTTCTGTAGAGTTGCACAAAGCACACCATACACACCAGTGTCATTACTTAGAAGAGTAAATCTAAAGCACATTTTCATGCTGAAAAGTGACCACAGAAATAGGTTGCTTTCCCACTCAATAGATCTGCTCTGTTTATTCAGAAACACACTGATCGAGTTGAGTAATTAAATTAGATCTTGTTCTTTGCTCTTATCTGCCACAGAGACAGCAGACAGAAAAGAAATACAGATCTTGTTCTTTCCCATGCACCATCACTAATATAGTTCAAATTCAATCTTCACTGGCATTTTGATTGCTGAAGCATGACAGAGGTGCTTAACGTGTCCTTCAGTACCATTAGTACCACTGATTATGCATGAACCCAGCCTCCTTATCAAGACAGTGTAAGCTTGCCTAAGCTCCAGTGGAATGAGCACATTTAATGCAGGAATCACCCGGGTTGGGGGGGAATCCTTGGAGCTACTTCATGTCACCATACAGTTACAGATGACCTGCTTAGTTCTGATTCGGTTTTGATCTCGTATGTTCTCTGTAATGGCCACTTATGCAGGCTGAATCTAGAACAGGGGTTCTGCTCTGTGGTAATTGCAAAATATTTTGTGAGGCCCCAGGTGTGCATCCCTGATCCTAGCCCCACTGCAAACTACAGCTCTTCCCACTGAAGTGTTGACTCCTACAGGAGCCCTGCACACACCTCAGAATCTCTCATTCTATTGGCTTTGTGAATCTGAAAAATGTGAACAGATTTGCTGTGCAGAGGTACTGTGAGAAAGCTGTTGAGCTGTTGGCATCTTGGAAACCTTGACGCTTCTAGTAAAGCACGTAATCTTAAAAAAAAAAAATGGGATGGCAGCAAAGAAAGGAAGGTACAATTCAATTGCCATGGCATTCATAGTGCCTCTCTAGTTTATAATGATATAATAGAGACAATATTTTGTTAGATTCTAAATCAGGTTTCCAGCCAAGAAAACCATTTTGCTTATATATGTTCCCAGCATCCCACTATTTCTTCTCAATTCCAGTAGCAGCAAACAATTGTCTCTGTTTGGCTTAAAAGTTAAGGCTCAGTTGTTACTGGAAATAAAAGGAGAATGGTATGAGAATCTGCAACTATACTGTTATTAACTTATAGCCATTAAATCAATGGCTATAAACCAGTTTTTGAAGTAGGTCTATCCTCATTTGAGAAATACTGCTGAACTTAATCTAGAGCTCTGGAAATGTGAATGAAAAACTAAAGCATGAGGCATTTGGGCTGCAGATTGCATGACAGCAAACAAACAGGCTTCAGATTTGAAAGGCAAGCAACTGATAGCATGGTATAGCTAGCACCCAGCAGTAGCTTCTTCCTTCTACAGGATGCAGCCAAATAATTCAAGTTGCATCATGTGTTAGCAGTTTTTAAAAAATTAGTTATTGCAGATTTACCCTCAGAAGTGGTGTGTTTCAGTTAAGATGACTTTGCTACTTATAACACTGAGTTATTTGTGTTCCTACTTCATAAACAGCAGTCAGCTAAATCAGAACACTTTCACTTGCTTTGTTCATATTTGTAATTCTCGTACACTATGGTAAATTCTTGTATTTAGTTCACTGAACTGTGACAGTCTGTCTAGATGTGAAAATCTCATTACAGGATTTTATAAAATGAAGAATATATAGGCCCCCATGTTAAACAAACCAAACCTTGTCAGCAGCTGCACATCTACTGAAGCTGTAGAATTTGCTTGCTGACAAAAAAAAAAAAAACCATCTTCATGTACTGGACTATTATCTTTTTTATCTTTTCACACCAGAAAGCAAATTATCTGTGAAGTGCCTGCTAGTTCTTAGAATCACTTGCATTTTTCTGTAAAGGAGCCAAGGTAACCCCAGCATTCCTGTCTTCGCTCTCTAGGCTGTACAGATCGTTTTTCTCTATGTATGCCCGCACCACATCAGGCACCAGGTAACGAATGCTCTGTCCTCTCCGCAGTGCTCTCCTGATTTTGGTGGAGGAAATGTCATTTGTGATCCATTCTTCCACGAGATGAATGTTGTTCTTGTATTTCCACAAAATATCAGATTCATAGATGAATTTCTGAATGCTGTTTCCAGCCCTACTGATGCATACAAGACCATAATTTTGTATAATTTCAGTGATGTCTTCCAACTTCCACAGATTGGGGATCCCAAAGGATTCCAGCACGTCACTTCCACAAAGCAGTTTAACCTGTGGGACATCTTAAGGCAGAGAAATAAGTAAGAAATAGGGTGTGCTTTAGGTAGCCAGATGTTAGCTAATGTGATGGGGACATTTAATATCTGGGTTACCTCTCTTGTCTTGGTTAAGATGAGACAATGGAATGAAATAAAAAAGATTCGGAGCATACATCTTACAGTTAGTACCTTTTAATATATAATTTTTCTGAGCAGAAAAGAAAAAGGTTACAGAAGCCCATAAAATGACCCTGTACCCAGATGCATCCTGAATTTTGAGGTTTACTATTTTCCTTTCTTTCTTGAAACATTTATAATTTATGTTCCAAAATTCTAGCTGTAGTTGGAGTATAGCAAAGTTGTATAGAAGAAATGGATAGCTCTGACTTTTTTCAGCTAAATTTCTATTAACTTGAATATTTTTTATGTCTGATATATTTTACTCTTACAGTCCTGTTACAAAGCCTACTGCTGCATGCTATGGGATCTTGGTGAATAACCTTCAGTGAAATCAACAACTAGAACTAGCATGGAAAGAAGTCACTCATCTGCACGGCTCTCTTGAAATAGCAACTACTGTTAAGCATTTAACTTGCAAACAGACTTAACTTTTTCCATCTGAACTCTGATTTTTCTTCTTAATGGGGTCGTGCCTACTTGGTTCTTGTTTCCTCTTCCGTCCTGGCTTTGTTAAAGGTAAAGCATTCTGCAGACTAATGGTAGCATCAGGGGATGAAAGCTTTTCATGATGGTGCCTGCAAAATGGAGGTATTTCAGATACAGAAGAATACAGTGAAGAGTATAGAGCCTACTAAATGACCTTTCACCACTTCCTCTTGTAGCACCTGCACAGAAAACCCATCCAAGAAGGGAGCTGCTGAAAGAGGGAGCTGTGAGAGCTGGCTTGTAAGATGGTGCAAGTGTAAAGATGTCAGAGCAATGAGTGCAGGCTTCTTAAAATAAACTGAAGTTTATTTTAAGAAGAACCTCAGTGAACAATGACTAAAAGAGTAAAATGTAAGAAAATATTACTGTAAATGATCCTAGTGCCAGCTTTTACATACACAAATGGGCAGTGTAACACAAACTCAAGTGAGAGAAACTTGCATAGTTTATGTACACCTTCTTATAGTCTCCTCTCGTTCCTCAGGAATATATTTTCAACACAAAAATTGAATAGATCCTAAGAAAATACATATAAACATACAAATTGTTCATGGGCTCCTTTTGTGTATCTATTGGACTAATGGTGCAATCCTTTGTTTACAATACTTATATAAGTAGTACTTTCTACTTCAGTGAGTCTATTCAGTGTGGTTTGGGGTTAGCCTGCTATCATTCTAACATCTAGAGCTAACAGCATTCCTTGTCCTTCTGTTGGTTCTTAAGATTTTTAGGATTTGCAGAAAAGTACCTTAAAACCTTCACTGTTTCCAACCACTCACTCTGGCTGCTTTCCCAGTCATCAACTTCCACCCAATCTGAGTTACTGGTGGCTAATTTTGCCATAGTTACTCGGTGATCAGCACTGATCAGACCCTTCTTCTTATATGCATCACCTACTGGTGAAATTATTCCTTTGATTACTTTGTATTTTCCTGTTGGGGAAAAAAAACACATCATCCTATCACACAAGAACACAGAAAGTGCTTGAGCAGATGTTATTTCCAGAGTATTGTATGTAAAGCATTACACACCCATTATTCACTGTAGTCCCTCAGAACACCAGTAACAGATCCTATAAGCAGCCCAGTGGAAAAGTACTGTATATTTCTGCCACTGTATGAGGTGGCACAATTAAATATTTAGTAAGAAATGTTGGAAATATATATTTAATGACATCTACTTGTGCCTTTCTAATTTCGGAAAGAAAAATCAAAGAACCTGTGCCCTAGCTCATTCCAACTAGTAAAAGGCAGCAAACACATGAGAATGTTCATTCATGTATTTAGCCTACAGCATTTAGTAGGAATGATGTACGCTCAGTAGCTTCAATACTTAATTAGTTTTCCAAAAATAGTTGTGTAAGTATCTCAATAGAGAGCTGTTTTAAATGACATAAATTACCATCCTACCTGTCTCATGGAGATAGTCTTTAGCCAGCTCAAATAGCCTCAGATGCATGTTGGTAATGGGATTGAAGGACCCACAGGCCAGCAGCACTACTTCTGTCTTCCTGTCGGGATCTTCCATTGCCATTCCTCGTGGCCACAGAGCCAAGTGCAGAAGGTTGGTTCTAGTTACCAGCCTGGTTACTGCAAGGAGATTACAAAGTAGTTATTTCTACTCACGTGAAGATGATTTAAAGATCAAACTGAAGACTGTTTTCCTTCTGTTAGTATCTGGCCTGTGATGGCTCATGTGATACCACGTTATCCATCTTTTAACAGATTAGGCTCACCTTTCTTTCTGCCAATCCCTGAGTAGAATGATGTGACAACAGTGACTTCACATTGCAGAAATAATTTTTCTGTTGCAGTTCAGAAGTAAGGGATATTGACAGAAATGAGCATGCTAGGAGGAAAACAAATGTTATAGATGTGTGAAGCTGGATTTGCCTTGTATGTTATCTTAGCAGTTGTGTGTCCCTCTTACATGCAAGAGGAGGAGGCATTTTCAGGAAGCTCAGTGACAATGGACAGCTCACAAAAAATAGTAACACAACGAACAAATAATTAAATCATTAATTACATCATTAAAGCCCCCAACTGCAGGGCAAGCAAATGAAAACTGCAATATATTATGTGCTGTCCTCCTGCTGTTGCTGTTTGTGAGATGTTTGAGGCGTCTGTGTTGAGTGTTGAATAGCTTGCTCTTATTTCTATAGTAATATCAATGCCTGGAAAAATCCCAAGGTCAGCCTCACATTCAGCCTCCTTTACAAAGAGGCTGAGATGCTCACTGCCCCCACAGTGTTGAGATCTCATCACAGCTAAATCTTCAAACAGCTTCTGTCTACTAACTTCAAAAAGCCCTTGAATAGAAGGAATTCTTGCAAGGCATGTTATGAGGTACATTTTGCAAGTTTTAGGACTTCTCTATGCTTTCAGGAGTTTCGCAAACTTTTAAAATATTCCTTATTGCTGCTGAGTAGTTCAGCGTTTGTAGGGCTCAATGTAAGTAGGAATAGAGTCTAGCATCAACTACAAGAATTACCATGGGAACAGGCAAGGAAGCAGCTGAACTTGTCTTTGTAATGCAGAAAGGTCTCCCTTTGTAAAGAAAGTGACTCTTGCAAACTGGAAAAAATGTTTTTTTAAATTAAAAAAAAAAAAAAAAAGAGCAAGGGCAAAAATAATGGAAGATTTCAGGATAGAAATGTATTGTGACTTTTCTGGTGTTCTAATGTCTCCTTAGAAGCTGGTAGCTATTAATTCACACACAGTCACCTTGTGTGTCTGCACTGATGATAGCAGTGTAACCACTTGCACATGCTGTTTCCTCATCTGCACTGGCACGCTCTTTTGAAAACTGTTTGCACAGAAAACAGCCATGTGGTTGTTGTGGAGAACAGAGCCAAGGACAGAGGTATTGTTGTGACTCCCACTGCTGCTTTGTCATCCTCAGAACCTGCACAGCACCTTCACAGCTGGGATCTGCTCTGCACGAAGTGACCTTGGTGCAGCTCTGACTTTGGGAAGCGCTCTGTGTGCATGCGCTATGGCAAAATGAACAGCTGGGTGTGAGACTGCTGGCGATATTCCCTCATGCCAAGTACTCAATGTTGGTGCCTCTCTGTAGAGACTCAAGAAGAAACGAAGCACAGCTGCTGTCAGTCCATTTTCAAGTAAGCATAGGACAGCCTAGACTGTTTCCTTCTTCACAAGGAGGAAGAGATGTTCTGTGATGCACACGATCCTGTCCATACGTGTTTATAGGCCCACCGTGCTCATACGGGATGCCACCGCTAATAGCTGTGCTGCTCACAGCCCTGACGGTACTTAGCTGCACCGCACTGCAATCCAGGCCATGCCCACGGCAGATCTCGGCCCAGCTCTGAAACCCGTTACCATCCAAGGATGAGCAGGCAGCAGTGATCACACCTTGGCCTATTTTTGTATTTTAGAGGCAAACGTTCGTTTATTAAGCACGTTTACATACTTACAGAATATCGGTCCCGTTTGCGTTAACTTTTTACTAGGCACGCCGGCTGCGGCTCCGTCCCCGCAGTCTCCTCCCACGACAGCGAAGGCTGCCAAAGCGCGGCCCGAGCGCAGCTCCTCCCGGCCCGGCCTCACCCCGTCAGCCCCGCGCCCTCGGGCCGCGCCGTGCCGCACTCCGATTGGCCGGGCGCGCCGGAAGCCGCTCCGCTCCGCCGCGGCGCCTTTCCCCGCGGTCCCGGCAGCGCAGGCCTGCCCCAGGTGAGGCTGCGGGACCGACGGTGCGCGGTGGGCCGGGCCGAGCCGAACCGAGCCGAACCGAGCCGAACCGAGCCGAGCCGAGCCGAGCCGAGCTTGAAGGCCGCGTGCTGGGCCGGCGCTTCCCTATCTCCGGCACCGGCGGAGCGTTGAGATAGAGGCGAGCTGCAGACGGGCCTCAGGCGGCGAGAGGCGGGATGCGCTTCTGTTCCGTCCGTTCGTGTCTCCTCCCCCAGCCCTTCCGTTATCTCGGCCGTACCGTAACGGCGGAAGGATCGTGTTTCCTCGTGCGGTTTGCGTGAGCAGCAGCTGCTAAGCGAAGGACGTGCTGCTCGGCCGGGCTGGAAGCGAGGCGTTGCCGAGCGAGCCGTTTGGGTCGTCTGCTGCGGCCTATTGAACAGCCGAGAAAGCAGGAATTTCCCCTACAGCGCTCTAGTTTTCTACGGATGACGATTTTATTTAAGGTGTTTGCGCGCTTCAGGAAGCTCAGTCTGGGTTGCTGTTTCTTGAATCGTTCCCCGAGGGGCAGTTGAAGACAAGATGAAGAGGTTGAATAGTACTTCTGGGATGTGAAGTGACGGCCTCCAGTCGCACCAGGGGAGGTTTAGTGACACCAGGAAGGATAAGGGTGGTTAGGTGCTGGAGCCGGCTGCCCAGGGCAATGCAGAGTCACACACCACAGAGGTTTTCAGGAGATGTGTGGACAGGAGGCTTAGGGGCATGGATTTCTGGTGGATGGAGTAGTATCAGATTGGTGGTTGGACATGATGATCTTAAGGGTCTTCTCCAACCTGAAAGATTTAGTAAGAGCCTGTTGTTGTGTCTAAAGGACATGAGAATATCAGTATTTGGTGATTGGTTTCACAAATGTTTCCATGTGCAATGGTTGTTTGAGTTATTATCTGGAGTATGACTTTTTCTACAAAAAAATAACCAAACAAACCAACAGCCTAACATTTCTGTATTTCTGTTGTTGGTGTCTCAAAGTGCTTTTACTAGATATTCCATCGTTGAGGTATTGTATGTTGATACTGGAATCGTTTTAAAACCCAGCTCAAGCTGTTGATCCACAGCCATAAAGTACTATTTTTTCTAGGACTGTTATGTGACAACTTAAAATTTTCATATGAAACTTGAAAATGGCTTCAAGAGGAACAACAGAGACCAGTAAACTGAAACAAAACTTGGAAGAGCAGTTGGACAGGCTAATGCAGCAGCTTCAAGATCTGGAGGAATGCAGGTAATAATAGTGGATGCTTTCCTCTTAAAGGTGAATTTTTTTCTGAAATTGTTGGCAGATGAGAACTGCACCTTTCATAAGCATTAGGTTTGTGTTTTGTAGTGATTCTGTTTTTCTAATTATGATAAGGTGTCAGGTAGTCAAAGTGACTTTAACAAATCTTTTTATTGAGGTCATTCTGTTGTCTTGTGGAAAAGCATCGTACCAAACTGTGAAGAAAATCAACTCTGTTCCAGCTGAAACCAGGACACTGGGGCAAAAATAATCATTAATGTTATCTTTGAAATGTTGTATTTCAGTGGGATTTTTTTACTTTTATGCTTTTTTAATAGCAGTTACTTTTGTGTCCCTGTTGCTTTGTCTTACGATTACAGATGCTTTGGTTGTGAATTTTTATGTATGAGGAAGCGTGCTTTATGGTGCATCCTCATGTCCTTGTCTCCATGTTACAACTCAGATTTAATTCTATGAATTAACATGACTCATTGGAACCTCTTTAGAGAGGAGCTAGATGCAGATGAGTATGAAGAAACCAAGAAAGAAACGCTAGAACAGCTGAGTGAGATCAATGACTCACTGAAGAAGATTATGTCTGGAGATATGACGTTGGTGGATGAGCTCAGCGGCATGCAACTGGTGAGTTTGATTCTCATTCAGATCTGTCTACCCTGTGTGTTACCTAAAACGAGGCTGAATTCTGTCTGGACTCAGTGAAACAGTAGATATAGATGGTCTTCTGTAATATCTAGACAGGCACGTGGAAAACCTACTATTGGAGAAGAAAAAACATGGGAAACAGCAAGGCCTGAATATTAGAAAAACATTATATATATATAATGTATGTGTATTTAATAATATAAAAGATGTGAAGGAAAATCCAGGACTTTGGGTATGTGGAGAGTTCGTGCCTATTTGCTAAGGGTGAAGATAACATTTCCCTGTGCTCATGTTACTGGTTTGTGTTTCAGAGTCCAAATGCAAAGGCTGTAGAAGTGACTCTAATTTAAGTTCCTTTGTGATCTTTTTTATTCTGACTTGCAAACTTCTGATCCATTTTGTCTTTTCAAGTGTTTAATGAAAGCATGATTCGTTTCTTCTGAGCCAGATGTTTTAAGTTTTTGTTTCCAGAGACATCGTGGTTTGTCCAAAAGTGGTGAGATTTAATATAACAGCTCTGATACTCCCCAGAGAAGTTTGAATGGCAGGAGATTGGCACCATCAATTACATTCTGCTTACCCTTGGAAGAGCTGTAGTCATCAGTGTGGGCATTAAAACTGCTAAAGATAGAGTAGCACATCCACGTGTGTTATGTTAATATCAGGAAGATGTTGGAATTTAATTAAGACCTAGATTCTAATTATAAGTTTCGTATCCTTTTCTCAGAATGATTGCACCAATTAGTGGACTTTTTAAAACCCTGCACAAATGTTTTGTTTTTTTCATCTCAGTTCTGTGGTTATACAAACAAAGAAAAGCTCTCTTATCAAATGATTCAGAGGATATTAATGATGCTTTCCAGCCTTCATTAATCTTCTCATGCAGTTGTAGATTATGATTGCTATTAGTTCTGGTCATTTTTCTTCTTTTCCCTGCAGGCAATACAGGCAGCCATCAGCCAAGCATTTAAAACTCCAGAAGTAATTAGAATGTTTGCAAAGAAACAACCAAGGCAATTGAGGACAAGGTTGGCAGAGGTGACTGCTTCTGTTTTACTGTAAAAACTGTTCATTTGAACTAGATGCTTCAATTTGTAATGTTTGCAAGAAGAGATTGGAATTACTGGGAAGCTTAAAGTATTTTGACTTCTTTTTCCCTTGGTGTGCAGATGGACCGAGACCTAATGGTCGGGAAGTTGGGACGAGACCTGTACACACAACAGAAAGTTGAAATCCTGACTGCCCTCAGGAAGCTCGGTGAGAAGGTAAAGTATTGGTTTGATAGCTAGCTGCTGAATAGCTGGTTTATATACTGCAGATTGATTTTAAAGGGCTAAAATAAGAAATTATAACTTTCTTAATGATCATCAAGTGTGGCAGTAACCGCCCTGAAGCACTTGTACTAAACATATGTCAAATAGTATCATGCATTTATATGAGACAAGTTTAAGAAGCTGTCATTGTCATTTTCAGGCCACGTAAGTGGATCGCACGGAAGCTGGTGCAAGGTGCCAATACATCAGGAAGCAGCAATACAAGTTGTTATTAGCTTGTTAACTGCCTCCTATCAACCTGGGAGGAGCTAAGACTCCTGACATACTTTAAGCTCTAACTTAACTCTGTATTATTTATAATACCTATTTCTTGGTGTAAGATAAATAACTTTGAGAAATAGGTGGTAAACCTTGTATTCCCCCAGTAAGTACATCAGTGTGCAGAACAATCCCAGGTTGTTTTTCTTTTCTTGATTGTGGTTTGTTTTTCTTTTACCACTAGAGGGAGGAAGAGAAGTTGTTTCTTCTTGTTGAAGGTATATGAAGAAAATGGGTTGCTGATATCTCTGCTATATTTTCCTAGTGAGGAAATGTAATGGAAAAGATCAAGCAAGTGCATTAGCAAATGTTTTCACTATGAATATTTTTATTGCTAGACTGTCAGAGGAAAAAAAAAAATTGGCAATAATTAGAAAGGCTAATTAAAACTGCTACCTAATATATATGAAGATATGTAACCCTCTGGTTATCAGTTCCTTGGGCCACCTCACACAAGCCTCTATGTTATGCTTTGACAGCCTCCTTATCTCTTAAAATGGTCAGTAGTCTATTTCATGCAGGACTGCCTATAGTAACAGTTCTGTTCTGAAGGTTTTAAAAAAAGATAGTTGATAGATACATGTTTATCTGCAGTGTAGTGCTAAATGTGTAGTAGTTAGATGCCTGCTTACAAAACATAGCTGAAGTAGGAAACTAATACTTTTTCCCCAGTTCTCATCTGGTGGTCTACTGTGGCCTCTATTCTTAAGTATGGAACTGATATAAACACTATGAATAGCTTTACATGTTTAATTCTGCTTTAATTTAGTCAGAATATTGATCTGAGGCTATTCAAATGAGCAAATTTTAACATAGAATATCTGCACCTTCCAGATGTAGATTATTGCTTCATTATTATAAATATTTTATGGGTGTCTGTCACCAAGACATCAGAGCATAAACATAAAAGCAGAATCTACATGTGTAAATGTCACTGATGGTTCACAGCG